GTGATCATTGGCAGACAGGAAAACCCGGTGCAAAAACATGGGAAATGTAATAGAATGAAAAATCAGAACAGAAATGGTGTTTCTGGTGGAGCCAATTATAATTAGGATATTAAAACCACTATGCTGTTGCAATTATATTTAACTCGGTAAGTAACCTCGTCTCTCAGAAGGAAAGGTAAGGGTATTGCAATTGCACGCTTCTGTGTGTGGTTCTGTCTGTCGGGCTGTCTGTCAGTCAGTGGTTCTGTCTATATGTCTGCCTGTCTTTGGGGCTGTGTGGTGTATGCTTATTTTCTGGGAAACTACAGACAGCGCCAACTCGAGCGGACTGACCACTTGCCGACTCGAGCGGATCAAACGTGTCAAATTCTGGCTGGCAGACTGGATTGCATGTCTTATATTCTGTAAAAGTAATTATACAGTCTGAAATAGATACATTATTCCTATATTTTTAAGGTTCTGCTCTTTCCAAATCGGATCCTAAGGCAGAAATTTGTGCAGGACTTGGAACGTTTTCTGGGTGGTTTAAAGATCATGGTAAAAACGAAAGAACTTACTCAAGATAATATGCTATTTGCATCCATAACGAAACAGCAAAGACAACAAACCTTAGAACGCTTTTTTCGAACAGCGTTTGCACAGGTAAGAGCTATCATGAAATTATAACATTATTCTGTAGTTAAAACTTAACTATTCTAATACTTGAATGCATTTTCACTGTATATTTTTGTAATATTTTTATTAAAAAAATGACCAGTCACTATATGATAACTCATCTGAATTTTTGGATTTATTTTTAGGCATTAACACAAAATGTTAATCCTGTAGATAGGATTACACGCTGGAATACGGAAATTGCTCAAGAAGTTTTGAGCTGCAGGCTTACAAAGCATGAGTTTGCAGAAGCACTTTCGATGCAACAGAACTCCTTATTTGTTGAGCAGATGTTTGATGTTGTTGACAAGGAACATTTTGGAACCATTTCTTTCAGAGATTTGTTAGATATGTTGGTTATATTTGCAAAAGGTGGGTATTTTAATAATTTGATTTGGTCCGAACTCAGTCGGTGGATACGTTTGAGCGTCTCTGCTCTTAATGCTAGATAAGAAATATTTTTTAAAAATTACTGGAAGATAATTTGAGATTGGTTAAATTGTTGAATTCTATTGGCTAGATGAAAACTCTTCTTTATTTTCAAAAACCAGAATATTGAGATATTTTATTCAATTGAGCAACTGAACAATTCAATTGAAGATGATATTTGTGAAACAAGATAAATTTATACATACATTTTAGGAACACCGGAAGAAAAACTGCGATTGATGTTTGATGTTTACGATATTGGGCATACAGGAACGCTTTCCAGAGATGAATTTAAAGCCATGGTCAAGTAAGACATTTATGCTATTAATATATTATAAATGTTATTAGTCGGATATTATATTTGGATGATGTCCCTTTTTGTAGAAACGTTTAGCACAAAAGTTTGTTTCTCGCTACCCAGGAGTATAAATGGGTACCAGCATATGCTTGGAAGGTAAAACCTACTTCTTAGGAGGGAGGAGAGGCGAAACCCTACATCCTCACACAGTCTGGTCAAATGACATAAGAAAGAAAAATTAGCTCACTGGCCTGGCTGCAGTGAGCCCAGAGTTTCAGATCGAATTTACCATTTTTACCTACCTGATTGCACCAACTTTTGTTGAGCTGCAGTTTAAGTATTCATATTATGTCCTGTAGGTCAATGGTGGAAGGAATGAGTGGGACTGTTGAGCAAGATAACGTCGAAGAGCTAATAAATTCCATGTTTGAAAGAGCAGGCTTCAAAGAAAAAGAAAAATTGAACTTTAAAGATTTCTTGAAATTGATGGAAGAACACAAAAAACACTTTGATAGAGTGTATATCGGTGTTACAGGTAGGCATAATTTAAGTTATCTTAGAATATTAGGTATATATATGTATATATTGCTCATTAAGAAACAATTCATGGGCAGTGCTAAACTTAATGAGAAATAAACAAAAATATTAAATAGTGAACAGACATTAGAGCTTAGTTGTTATTTTAAGTTATGAGTGATCACTAGAAAAGGCTATGTCTTATTACTATACACATATAGAAAGTTTTTAATGAGAAATGAGATAATGGACGTTTCCACAAAATTTTGCCAACTGCATGGGGATGGCTTTTAAACAAACAGTATCAAAATTCAGAATATAAAGAGAAAATGGAAAATTATAACATGGTAAAACAGCTAGAGTATGATGTTTGGATAATGTTTATCGTTAAAAGACAATCATTTGTATGTCCGTTAAGGCGAAATCATAGACAAAATAGTTTCCCCTTAAGAGCCGAATAAAGGAAGTACAGTATATAAGATGTGTATAAGAGACAGGGTCAAGTAAGACATTTATGCTATTAATATATTATAAATGTTATTAGTCGGATATTATATTTGGATGATGTCCCTTTTTGTAGAAACGTTTAGCACAAAAGTTTGTTTCTCGCTACCCAGGAGTATAAATGGGTACCAGCATATGCTTGGAAGGTAAAACCTACTTCTTAGGAGGGAGGAGAGGCGAAACCCTACATCCTCACACAGTCTGGTCAAATGACATAAGAAAGAAAAATTAGCTCACTGGCCTGGCTGCAGTGAGCCCAGAGTTTCAGATCGAATTTACCATTTTTACCTACCTGATTGCACCAACTTTTGTTGAGCTGCAGTTTAAGTATTCATATTATGTCCTGTAGGTC